AAATAAAAAAAAACTCAAAGTTTTGAACAGTAACAACTGGATGAATTTTTACGGTGCAAACTATCTAACAGCCAAAGCACAGCACATTAATTAAAACACACCGCTGCTAAATGTGGAAACTAAACATGCAAACACTAATCAGCCGCACTACTGTTAGTGTTCAGCTTGGTTTAGACAGGTTCTGTTTTTCTCTCCCGTATGCAATCAAGACATTCATTTAGACTAGATTGCCTTGTCAGAGCAAACCGTCAGTGTATTTCCACCAGACTAAATATCCAGTCTGAGATTCCTGTGCGAGCACACGCTGTCCTCCGTCAGTAAAGCACACGTGAAGAGGAACAGCAGGATCCGCTGGCAAAGCCTTGAGCTGTTCAACAAGCCGTCCTTTCCTCTGAGTATCACCCACCTGTGTCGTAAATAAACACGCCTTATGAATAAGGCCATGTCTTTGCTACAGTGACAGCTCTGCTTTCCAGCCCGGTTGCTTGGATTTATAAATACATATGAATATGTGAGGGCTGTTATTAGCGCTGCACTCATTGCCTCGGCTGTGTTTTCCTGCGGCTGCTGACAGACTCATGGAACAAAGGAGAGCCAGTGCAGACAAAGAGAAACGCTCTTCCAGTTTCGAGTGTTTTTACCGTATAAATCAGCAACGCTTCGTAATCAACAGTATCATGAAGCTACCATTACTCTCTCTAGAGAAGACTTATATATTAGATTCCTTCAGCGTAAGCTTTATAGCACGAAACAGACCACAAAGGATAGTTTGGGGTGAGATTGTGTAAAGGAAATGTGATTCTCTTGTTTGTCAGATATAGAGCTGAACATGTAATCAAAACAAGCATAATCTTACAGATGTGTGTTTTGTGTTTCTCTTCGGTTCCTGCTGGTACACAAAGATAAGAGCTTAAAAATCACCCCACACTCAAAAATATAGTTTTTTTGTTTATGGTTTTGTTTTGTTTTTTTAGTTGTTTTGTTCTTATTTTGTTTTTGGTTTGGTTTGGATTTTTTAAAATCTATTTTGTTTTTAGTTTATCTTGTGATTGTTTTGTATTATTTTGTGTTTACTGTGTTTTTGGTTTTGGTGTGGTTTGTGTTTTTGTTTGGTTTTTGTTTGGTTTATTTTGTGCTTTGTGTTTTGTTTGGTTTCTGCTTGTTTTGTTTAATTTTGTTTGGTTGCTTATTTTGTTTTTGGTTTATTTTGTGATTGTTTTGGATTATGTGCTAATTTTGGTTTATTTTGTGCTTGTTTTATTTTGTGTTTGCTTTGTTTTGGTTTATTTTGTGCTTGTATTGTTTTTGGTTTGGTTTGTGTTTGTTTAGTTTTGGTTTATTTTATACTTGTTTTTGGTCTGGTTTGTTCAGTCAAAGCATGTGTTCATAAAGGAGCAGAAATGTCAGAGCACAGTGCATAACATTGCATTTAGTGGCGATATCCTAGGGATAGTTTAGCGCTAAGAGTGGCAGCGGGATGCACACGCTCACAGCTCCATTCCCTTTCTTGTTCTAGCAAACCCACGTCACTTATTTTCCAAACAATTGTGTTTGAATGACTCGCTATAACTGCTCTCCGTGTTCAAGGCTGCTGGAGAGAATAGAGAAACCTTGAGCAACACATGGAATTCAAACAGCTTGAGTCCCGCTGCCTTTGGATTTCAGACACGTCCTCAGCTTTTTCAAGGTTTCTTTTCTTTTCTTAAGTAAGTAGCAGAGGATAATCCCAGCGCTCTGCATTGCGAATGGAAGCGAATGCATTGAGAGCGCAGCTGTTTAGCGACACACCTCAGCTTTGCTCAACACTCACTGTTCATCGCTGCAGGTGTTTGTGGCGGAGATCCGATAGAAAGCCTCTGATTAGCCCGTACCGCGGCTTTTATAACGACATGTTTGAGGACCTTCTGAAGGCTTTTTGCGCTTGTGAACATTTACCTGATAAACCTTGTGTTCGTGAGCCGCACAGAGCCAGATATCCACATAAATGTCAAGATTCAGCCGCAAAAGCATTTTATTAAAGTGTCTTGCCATATTGTTCATGTCTCTAGTAGAGATGGGACAACCAGTAAATTAGTACGGTTGACTAGGTTTTTTAATTAGCTTTGATTTTGAATAAGTGGTACTTTAATTAACATGTTGATAGCACGTAGTGCTTTTAAAATGAAAAGATTGCCACTTACAAATAAAATGGAGAAAATAATTGTAGTGTAGTATTTAAAAAATAACACTGGCTAAATAGACAATTTAAGCAGCTTATTTAATTCATGCTTAATTTGTTAAATGTAACAATAAAATACATTAGAATTTTTATCAATTTTAAATTAAGTTACACTTAAAAATGAGTTATTACCTTGTTATATTTAACCATTTTTAAACATAAATAAACACTTCTGAATTGTGTTTGTATGAAAACTTGTTCCCACCATGGGGAAAAAAATTAAAAAGGTAATTGTGAATATTTATTTTGAGTTTATATCGCACAATTCTGTTTTCCTGTGTTCTGCCAAAGGATAAAAAATAAATATTTTAAAATATTAAAATATTGTTTTAAATAACATTTTAAAATTTACACACACACACACACACACACACACACACACACTCATGCTATTTATTAAAGTTTATACGCATATAATATGAAAATATACACATTATTTATTAAATGTATTAAATGTTAGAGTTAATTTACAGCTAATGAAATAAATTTATTTTACACAAAATTGTTGTCTTACGGAGCCCCGCACATGACATGCAAGAAAAAATAAATAAATCATGCGCACGATTTAGCCTGCTATTTTTTCCTGCATGCCATGTGCGGGGCTCCGTAGTGTCTGAGTACTAGACTGAACGGAACTATCTGCAGACTGGTGTTTGTGTTCTCGTGTGCTGTAAGCAGCAGAGCTCATGTGAAGTTCCTGATCGCCTCGAGGGAAATGATACTGAAAGTGTCTGGCGTTTGTGGCGCTCGCAGGCGTCGAGACGTTCAGATATGCTGTGCTGGTTTTACAGTAGTTTGTGGTTGTGCTCAGTCGTGCTCCACCCAGACTCACGTCACGCCTCTAATATCACTCTTCCTCTCTGTCTGTCTCCTCTGTGAGAGGACAAATCTACTAAATGTGTGTGTGTGTGTGTGTGTGTGTGTGATCCTGGTGAGCAAGCACTGCTGTCACAGACTGGCTGCAGTTCAAGGGGTTCTTCAGCCCGGCTCGGTCTGACAGATCATCAGCAGAACTCACCTCACCTGAACCCATCTGAGCTGCATGCTGATCACACAGGAGTTAGTGCTTCAGGCGTCAGTGTTATCATCACAGTAACACCAGTTCAGTGAGTGCAGCGCAGCCAGACACACATGCACACGTGTTAGAGACAGTCACGATGGTCGACTGCTCAGTTTGTGAGATCAACTGTTTTTTCTTTGTTTTTCAAGTTTTTATATTGTTAGCTGCAGTTCTGCGCTTTGACAGTAAAAGTATCACTGAGAGAAGCTGTCTGCTGTTCAAACGTTTGCTGTTCATGCTTCTGAAAGAAGTCTCTTCTGTTCACCAGGGCAGCATGTATTTGATCAAAAATGCAGTAAAAATTATGACATATTATTACAGTGTAAAACAGCTGTTTTCTATGTGAATATCTGTTAAACTGTAATGTATTTCTGTGATGCGCAGCTGTATTTTCAGCATCATTACTCCAGTCTTCAGTGTCACATGATCTTCAGAAATCATTCTAATATGCTGATTTGCTGCTCAAGAAACATTTCTGATTATTATCAATGTTGAAAACAGTTGTGCTGCACAATATTTTTGTGGAAACTGTGATGCATTTTATTTTTCAATAACTAGTGCAGTTCATCACAAAATCTGAACTTTGGTCACCATTCACTTCAAATTATTATTATTTTGGTAACATTAATTAGTAAGTTAGCAATAGTAATGAATTAAAATGAGTAATTAGTTAAAATGAATATTAATTATTTTTAAAAACTGTAACTGTAATCCATTTACAACATATCAGATTTGGTAAGTTTATACAGTTGAGAACCGGTCCAATTTTACATTCAATTGCATTGAAAAAGCAGCGGATGATGTTCTTTAGGGCTGCCAAGTGAGTAAAGCTTTTAAATCTAATTATTGTATGTTGTGCCAATTAATTAATCTAAATAATCTCATCAGTTTGGGCTGAGAAATGACCTCTGAAAAGATCATTTAAAGTCTTTATTGTGTTAAATGAGAAAAGCATTCATTAGACATTACAAAATGTAGCTTTAGAGAGAAATATTTTGATTCGACATTGCATAAATAATGACAATAAATAGGTATTAATTGTTTTGAAATTAATATTGATATATGAAATTATAAATAAAAAAAAAAACTCTAAATATGAAACTAAAAGCGTCAGTAAGTGGCAAGTCACAGTTTTAATGAGTGAGTCACTGAATCATTCATTCAACCGATTCGTGCAAACGGCTGATTCATTCAGAAACAAAGCAAGTGACTGTCTTAATGAATCTGAATCACTGACTCACTCGATTCATTCAAAACTGTGGATTCAGAGATGATCAACAGTTCTGCTGTGACCTTGATTGGAAAAATCTAGAGAAATTGAGCAAAAACAGAAAATATTGTATCTAAAATGTAACACAACATTAACTTCTTGTTTATTGAACTGTTGTATAAATCAGCACTCTTGCTGGTGTGATATTGCTAAACTACATTATATGATATAAATATAAGAGGGTGATTTTTTCCTCATATCTTGAATTTTAGGCTCATATAACTGCATTCTGATAGACTCCATCAGTCAGTCAGTCGTCCTGCATCATGATCATCAGAAACTGCATCAATGTATGATGATGGACAGCTCTGGACGGGGCGCTGCGTTAAATGCTTTAATCACGTTATTTTGTCTATAATTAATTGCACCAAATGAATGCATTAAATCAACAGGCCTAGTTTTGTTCTCATAATTCTGAGACGCTGATGTGATTGGTTTGTGCTTGTTTGCAGCCTTACAGTGCTACTGTCACCGGTGCCCGAACCACACGTGTGCCACGGACGGCCTGTGTTACGTGTCCATCACTAAATCCGGCGGAGTGACCACACAGCAGAGCTGGTGCATCAGCGAGAACGAGCTGATCCCGCGAGACCGGCCCTTCGTCTGCGCTCCCTCCGCCAAACACGACTCCGGCATCTACCCCATGTGCTGCGACACCGACTGGTGCAACAAGAACCCCGACCTCACCTCATTCCCAGGTCAGACGCACCTTTGTGTGTGTGTGTGTGAGTGTGTGTGTGAGTGTGTGTGTGTGTGTGTGTGTGTGAGTGTGTGTGTGTGAGTGTGCATGTGCGTGTGTATGTAATCACAAATTTTTAGCTAAACTGTGCAGTTCTTTTTTATGTTGCATTTTAATTTGTAAATCTGAACAGTTGCAGTTATGCAGTATTAATCTGCAGAATCATTCCTGAAATGACCTGAAATGCTCGTTCTGTCATCATTTCATGCAGGTCCAAACCTGTCTGACCTTCTTCTGCTAAAACAGAAAAGATACTTTGGAAATGGTCTGTTTTTTTTTTTCAGTGACAGTCAAATGGATCAAAAACAACATTAAAGACAACTGACTTTCACCGTATGCACAAAAAAACATGTGAAACACGTAATGTCCAGTGTTCAAACTGATACTGTGTTTATTGGCTGTTTAAATGTGTAAAATGAACACTTGCTGGCGCTCCACTGTGAAAGGCTGCAGCACGTCTCTGTCACACAAACCCCAGTGCCGTCTGAAGCAGAGCAAACTCACACATGTGCGGTTAGCGTGATCTCAGCTCTGGATGAGTGTAGTCTGAAGAAGCGATCTCAGACGTCTGTGTAAACACAGGAGCAGACGGCGTCTCTCTCAGCCTGTAGGGATTCTCCTCATAACCTCTGTCCTTCTGCTACCAGATATTCTCTGTTTTCATCTGATTAACTTGTCTTGTGTGGCTGTGGATGTAATGTAAATCCGCTGGGGTTGAACCACACAGTGCGTGCTTGCTGTTTTCAGGAGCTCGATGTGCTGGAATGCGTCTAGACGCTCGTCTATGGGAACGTCTGACTTAGACGTGAAATGATAGTGTTACGAGGCTTCTGAAGAAACGCTCAGAAGTGACTCGTGTGTTTCTGCGTGACATGGACTCATTGTGTGTCTTCACTCGATATGTCACCTGAGCCGCTGAAAGATCGACACGCAGACTAACAGAGAGCGTTTGTTTGATTCACCGTAACTCGCTCTCACTCTCAGAACGCTCGGTTTAGAGCTGACCGTATTACACACAAACCTCAACACACTTTCTGGAAATCTCTGATCTGATTGGCTGCTATTTTGTAACTTCCAAACGTGTGGCACGATTTGTCCCCACATTCACATGGGTACAGTGCTATTTAAGTATCATTTATATATTACTACTATTATTAAACTTTTATAGTTTTATAGTATTTAAGTATTGCTATAGTATTTATTAATTTATATTTATATTTTGTTTTCATATTAATTTTTGTTTAAGTTATTATTTATTTAGTTGTTTTAGTACCTAAACTTAAAAATGTAAGTGTTGCCTTGGCAACTAACTGAAAAGTTTTTCATCTAATATTTTTTTAATATTATAATTTATATATAATTTTTTCCATCTAATATTTCATATTTTATTTTATGCAAATATTTAATTATTTTATAGGACCAAATCTTAGATTGTCTGATTCGGTCTGATATCCTACATACTTCAGCTTTATTTCATTTACTGAAAACAATTTTTACAAACCCTGTATTAAAGAAAAACACAATATTTGATGTAATGCACTCCTAAAGGTCTGAACTGAAGGGCCCCCTGCGGAGAGAGCAGGCGTCTGTTTCTCTGCTCGTGTTTTCTGACGTCTCTCTCCTGCTCTCTCGTTCAGTGCCGTATATATATATATATATATATATATATATATATAAATGTGGTGTCTTGGCAACTAACTGATATGTTTAAGTTTACGTTTTTTCATATAATATTTATATTTTCATTTCAGCTTAATTTATTTTACTATCATTGAGATACTATTATAGTTAATATTAATATTTTGGTTTTAGTGATTTTTTTTTTTTAGCTTTTGTTGTTTTCAAAGATACCTTAAATATAAGAAATGTTGCCTAGCTGAAGTAAAAATAAGTTTTTTAAAAAATATTGATGATCCCTGACCATCACTGCTTTGAATGTGCACCGCTGGTCATTTTCTGTCTTGTAGTGAATGCTTGGCTCAATATGTGTTTCAGGTATCGAGTCGTGTCTTTACGCCCATGTCTGACTGACGAGAAACGTTCCGGGAGATTCCTGTTATTCTTGCTTTATTTACACGCTTTTCACTTCATATAATTACGTGTTTGTCTTTCTGAGCACCTGCGCTCTTTTATGTGTCTGCGTGTCTGCTCTTCTCTTTGTGTGTAGTTTGTGTGTCACCAGCATCGTTGCACGACAGGCATTAAACACCGGCTGCCAGTGTAAAGATGTACTTATCTTAAAAGAGCAGGGCGTGTTCACACCAACACAAAAAATCGGTCTGATTTCCGTGTACAGTATGTCTGTTCAGACCCATGCATTCACTAACATTAACTAACAATGAGCAGAATGTTTGTTACCGCATTTGTTAACTTTAGTTAATAAAAACAGCTGTTCATTGTTGGTCCATGTCAGCTCAGGTTCATTAAATGACATTAACAGATACAACTTTTGACTTAAATAATGCATTAGTAAACGTTGGAATCAACATTAACGTAAGATTGATAAATGCTTTAGTATTTTCCGTTGTTAATGATAAATAATGTAGTAAAGTAATGTGGTTTATGTATAAAGGTGAGTTGATTAAGACTAGTTTATTCACTTTATGTGCTTTAGACATGTTTCACATCATTATCATCGCATCTTTGCGTGATTGCTTAGTGAATCAGGTATTTGAACAGCTGCCCAAAAGAGCCAGTTCGCGGAAAGTGTCTTGATTCTTCCAGTCTGAGTCCAGTTCTGGATTCCTCCTCTTCTGTTCGCTTGGCATAACAGTCTGCTCGTGAGCGCCACCTAGTCATCGCTATGTGAGATCATGTGGCCAAAAGCATGAATACTGTACTGGTAGTTGTTGTTTTTGTTTGTTTGTTTTTTGTTGTTGCAGTGTGACGTAAAAGAGGTTAGGAAACGCGTCGCAGTAACGGCATGTGCATGTTTGTGTGCATTAGAATTATAATTACAACAACTTTTCACACGTCTGCTTGTGTAACCAGGCTTTAACTCCTAAGACCCTCTTCATAATCAACATAATCAACTCTTCAACATCACTCCCAAAGATGGACTCTGCTGTTTTTAACCTAAATAGACACTGATGCATTTAAAAAAAAGTGTTACATGAATGCATTTTAGATTTTTTGTCTAGTATTAACCTTAAATGTCTTAGCTTCTTGTTAAGTGTTATTTATTCTGTTTTCGCCAATGAAGATAGCCTTGCTGCTGACATGGCAACAATCAATCAATCAACCAATCAATCAATCAATCAACCAATCAATCCCAAAGTCTGTATCAGTTGCATGTAAACTGGAGCCAGAGTCAAATGTGACGGAGCAGAATGCATGCAGTTATTAACATCACATAGCTTTTAGGAATCTTTATATTTTAAGTTTTCTATATTTTCAAGTGCATTTATAACACTATCCTTTGTGTTATATTCATTTGGCATTGAATTACAGAAGACGAGTTAACGCTGCTGTGTGGCTGTTTCTAATACAACGCCTGATGTCTCTCTTCTCGTTTGAAGTCATAGAAATGCCATCAAGTTTTTCCCCACTTTTGCTACTGGAGAAAAATGGGAATGCAGAAATGATATTGGTTTCGGTTCTCTAGCATGACTTTTGTTTGTTTGTGTTTTATTGGACAAAAATTAAAACATTATACAAAAAAGTCCAAAAAGACTAAGTCATACACATTTCAAAACTGTCAAGGATAAAATACACAAAAAAGCCATCGGCTTATTTCCATTGTGGTCCTCGGTATTTTAAAATAGACGAACAAATCATCAACATCTAGTTCAGAAACTCACCACACAAACGTCAAAACATCAATGATGAAACAACGTCCCTTCTAAAAATACTATCAACATGTATCTCTTTAATACACTCAGGTTATTTATTCCAAGCAACAGAGCTAGTATATACAAAACACGCTCAATAATATATATCATTACTACTCGCCCTTGTAGAATGACAGTGAACATCTCTTACAAATACATAATAATCTGACAGATACTTTGGAACCATTTTCTTTAATATCTTAAACACCATCACTAGTTTTAGAAAACTTAGAAGACTTGTTCTGTAAATATGGAAACTCTCCATTTAAACGGCATCTAAAGGGATTGTCCAAATTCTCACATCGTTTACTCACCTTTATGTTGTTCCAAACCATAACAAACTTTCATCTTCAAAACAAACATGAAGATGTTTTTAATGTTCTCTCATAATTTGTGTCCCTTCATTGAAAGTCCATTCCACCGAAACGTTGACGCTTCCAACAGTTCATATATGAAGCAGGCGGATTAATCCGAGACTTCAGACTTGATATGATGAACGGATTTAATTCAGGCTTTTATTCACCGATAAACATTGATCAACACACACATGTAGAGTAACTGAAGCTCAGATGTGTTTAAACCTCAGTGGTTCTGAATCGTGAAAAACGTGAATCTCTCCGGTTTCATTAAAAATATCTTCATTTGTGTTCCAAAGATGACTGACAGCCATAAGATCTGCACGACACGAGAGAGTCACTGATGGCAGAAACTTTACTTTTTGTGAGCTGTCGCTTTAATGGATTGGCGAGACATTTCACGGACAGTTGTCAGTATGCTTTATATATTAATAATCTAAAGAGATTATTTTTGATTTGTGACCCTGGAGCACAAAGTTCCACTTTCTTGCTGCTGTAGATCAGTGTATCAGAAACTGGCTTTATTCACTGATCCTCAGGACACTGTTTAGCACTCGTTTGTGGATTGAGATCCATTCGTCCTGACGTGAGCCGTCTGAGTTTAGTGCAGGGATGTGATCTGTGACGGCAGATACCCTAATTTTTTGGAAAGAAATTAACACTTTTATTCAGGCTGCGCATCACAGAAATACATTACAGTTTAACAGAGATTCACAGAGAAAACAGCGGTTTTAAATTACAATAATATTTCACAATTTTTGTTGCATGTTTGATGCAGTAAAAGCAGCTTTGGTGAGCAGAAGAGACTTCTTTCAGAAACATTCAAAATCTTACTGAGCCCAAACTTTTGATCGTTAGCGTATATTTGCACATTTACAGAAATTTGTAACAATTAATTGAAGTTGTCAATAAAAAAAAAAAATATATATATATATATCAAAATATGCTACTTGATCAAATTAATCAAATAACCAGTAATGAGTAAAGTCCATATTTATTTATTTATTTATTTATATTCATAGAGTGCAAAAGGAAAAAGAAGGTTGATATATGAGCCGAATCTGTCTGGATGTTGTAGGTCCAGTAAGAATCATCTGAAAGACTGCACTCACATAATTTGTCAATAAAAAAAAAAAATATATATATATATATATATCAAAATATGCTACTTGATCAAATTAATCAAATAACCAGTAATGAGTAAAGTCCATATTTATTTATTTATTTATTTATATTCATAGAGTGCAAAAGGAAAAAGAAGGTTGATATATGAGCCGAATCTGTCTGGATGTTGTAGGTCCAGTATGTTCTGTAACAGCTGCGTGTGTGTGCTCTGGTGCAGGGCTTCCTCTGCTGGTGCAGCGGACCATCGCCAGGACCATCATCCAAGCAGGCCTCTTTTTCCATAAGAGAGCCTCTTTTCGCCCCGTTCTGCTATTTCTTGATGCGTTTAGTCTGTCTGGAGTCTTTTAGACGTCTTCAGTCTGAATCTCTGACCTCACGAGTGAGTCTCGTATCGCACACATCTTCATCTGTTCGTCTCATGTCTGTCTCTGCCGTTCTCCGTTTTTCTGTACACAATGATCTTTCATTGACATGTCGCTCCTATTTATTGTGGATTGCATGACATTTGATGTGTTTCATTCCACTTCTTCGGGGAGGTGTGGAGGGGCAAGTGGAGAGGAGAGGAGGTGGCCGTCAAGATCTTCTCCTCCAGAGAGGAGCGCTCCTGGTTCCGCGAGGCTGAGATCTACCAGACCGTGATGCTGCGGCACGAGAACATCCTCGGCTTCATCGCCGCCGACAACAAAGGTCAGCAGCACTGGTGCATGCTGGGACGAGCGCATGGGTCTTACCGTGATTGTAGGGATGCGCGATATATCGGCCGATAAATGGTTTTGTTTTTTTGTTAATGTCAAATTTAGGCCGAACCACAGAAAACAAAATAAAGCGCAGTCATTGTTTCCTACACATTCCTGCCTGTTAACTCTATGCAGCTGGTTATGCTTTGTGTAATGCATTTATATATGTATGATATATATATATTTATTTCTGATTAGTATTTGTTGTGCATGTTATTGATGATTTCTTATGCTTATATCGCTTGGTTTTGACCGTTTTATTGCAGCTGCAGTTTACAGAGTTAGTGTTATGACGTGCAGATGCAGCGACGGTGTTTATTGGTTTTATATGTGAAAATCTGGAATCTGAGGGTGCAAAACAATCTAAATATTGAGAAAATCATCTTTAAAGTTGTCCGAATGAAGCTCTTAGCAATGCATATTACTAATCAAAAATTAAGTTTTGATATATTTACGGTAGGAAATTTACAAAATATCTTCATGGAACATGATCTTTACTTAATATCCTAATGATTTTTGGCGTAAAAGAGAAATCTATAATTTTGACCCATACAATGTATTGTTGGCTATTGCTACAAATATACCCCAGTGACTTAACACTGCTTTTGTGCTCCAGGCTCACATATGATAAGATTAATATAATAATTTTGAATATGATCGTTTCATTGTAAATATGGTGATTATGTAAGGTGCACACCCAAACAATACATAATAATAATAGGCTAATTATTGATAAGACTGTTCAATAAGTGCATCAGTTTCAAGATATAAATCGGAAGATTCAGAATTATCGGCCGATATATCGGTTTTCAAATATAAAAAAAATATCGGCCAAAATTTCCGTGTCTGTGCATCCCTGCTTGATTGCACCTGATTTTACAGTAGTTACACATGTGACTCTGCAGGTTACCTGTAAGCACCAAGAAACGAATTGAATCAGAATCAGATTCAAATGAATCAGTAAATTTGTGTGTTTTTTTCGCCTGATATTTTACCTGCCGAATGCATGCATTTGACACCTGACAGTGTTTATTTAGTCTCTGAGTGTCCTGTGCTGAACAGTCTCAGGCTTGGTGTTTGTGGAGGTCTGTCTAACGGCTCTGTTCTCGTCTCAGATAACGGCACGTGGACGCAGCTGTGGCTGGTGTCGGACTATCACGAGCACGGCTCTCTGTTCGACTATCTGAACCGCTACACAGTGACGGTGGAGGGCATGATCAAGCTGTCTCTGTCCACAGCCAGCGGCCTGGCGCACCTGCACATGGAGATCGTGGGAACGCAAGGTACACTGTGTTTGTGCCGAGTCCATGTTGGTATTTTTTTATGAACGGCTAAAAAACTACTAGAAAATACTCGTATTTTTGGTGTCTGAATCGGCTCATTTATATAAAAATACACAGAGAATGCAGTTCATACAGACAAGGGCTTCAGTACGGCTCTTCTATAATATTTTATATTTCTAAATGTAAATTATTTAGAATTTATTTTTTGCTTAAAGTAAATGTCAAAGAGTTACATCCTGACTTCAAGAAGAAACATCAAGTCAAGTCAAGTCTGCTTTATTGTCAATTCTTCCACATGTACAGCACATACACACAGAGAATTGAAATTGCGTTACTCTCAGACCCTTGGTGCATACAGATAACACTAACAGTAGAACATAAATACAGATAGATACAGATTAAATATAAAATACAACTATACAAATATACAAATAAGGTAAAATGTAAAAAATGTAAAAAAAATACATAAAGCAGCACAAGGCACATGGCAGATAGAGTGCAAACCAGTGACTCATCAGAGGCTGAAAGTCTTGAAAAGGAAGCCTTAAGTAGCTTAAGTATAATATATATGTGCCTCTAGAAGCTTGCGTTCTGCAAGTGAACGTCGCTTTATTGTTCATCCCAAAGAAGCACAAAATCACTTTCACAGACTTCTACATTAACTGTTCCCTCCTGGTGGAATGAGCTGCCCAACTCAATCCCAGCACCATCTTCAAGAATCGGCTAAAAACACATCTCTTCCATCTTTATTTGACCCTCTAACTCTAGCACTCTCTTTTCTAATTCTATTCTTTAAAAAAAAAAACTTGCTCTATGCACATTCGTAAACTCTATTCATTTACTAACTGCTTGTTTTCTTAAAAAAATTGCTTCTCTAATCTTTTTGTATTCTATCTATTTGTTTTCTTTTTATTTATTATACAATTAACCAAAGCAAAAAAAGGCCTCTAACACTAGCTTGCTCTATTCTTTTTCTATTCTATCTGTTTTCTTTTTTTATTTATAAAAAATAAAAAAAAACCTTGCTATGTGTACTGTGTTAAGCTAACTGAGACTTGTTATAGCACTTCTATCGTTGCTCTTTTGTTGATTTTGATTGCTTCTATTGTCCTCATTTGTAAGTCGCTTTGGATAAAAGCGTCTGCTAAATGACTAAATGTAAATATATTGTTTCTTGACATTTAAGCAATTTTTTTAACTAATATTGACGCAATGTTGACCATCATGACTGTGTTAAAGTAATTCAAATTCTGAAAAATCAACCATAATCTTACCTTTTAAGACATGGCAAGTTCAAACCTCAGTGGTATTCATAATTAAAAATATATAAAAATATACATTTAAAAATGCTTTTTACCTTGAAACATTTATGGTGAGCCGTTAATTCATCTTCACACAAGGCTGTGCTGTTTTAGTTCCAGTGAAGCCAAATCGAGCCTTCAGCTTTACAGGCCCTGCTCATTCAGCCAGCGTTAGAAGTATTTATTTATTTAAATGATGTATAAAAATAGCACTTTGAGTCACTGTTTGCCTCTAGAAGTCCAAAACTGAAGCATTTTGCTTGATTTAGACTTCAGTCAAGAGAAGTTGATGGGGTTTTGTGAGAGCTTCATTTACCGACGGAGCAGCTTTATTACATTCGTATAATTGAGTCGTAATGCCTCATTACACTGTGAGAGAGTCTGATCAAGCTCTGAAGATCAATTCAGCACGGCCTGTTGCAGTATTAAAGCTATAACAATGCACTCATTTGTTGACTGCTAAAGTAATGATGTGTGCGATTACTATTGCTTATTTTTAAACCCCGACCATAAGTAGTAAACTTCAGCGCATAGTCACAGCTTGTGCTAAAGACATTATTAATATGAAAATCATAAAGTGTGATTACTTTGCTAAGCAATCTGGGTTATTTTCAACTGGTGAAAAAAATCACTCAAGTTTGGGGTTCATGAAATGTTTTCATGTTTCTGAAAGAAGTCTCTTCTGCTCACCAGAGCTGTGTTTATTTGATAAAAAATACAGTAAACATTGTGAAATATTATTATGATTTCAAACAGCTGTTTTCTATGTGAGTCTCTGTTAAACTGTAATGTATTTCTGTGATGCGCAGCTGTATTTTCAGCATCATTACTCCAGTCTTCAGTGTCACATGATCTTCAGAAATCATTCTAATATGCTGATTTGCTGCTCAACAAACATTTCTGATTATTATCAATGTTGAACACAGTTGTGCTGCACAATATTTCTGTGGAAACTGTGATACATTTTATTTTTCAGGATTCACAGATGAACAGAAACTTCAGAAGAACAGCATTTATTTGAAATAGAAATCTACTGTAACTTTATAAATGTCTTTACTGTCACTCTTGATCAATGTAATGCATCCTTGAAGAATTAATTTCTTTAAAAAAATTATTTATTAAATCAAACATATTTGGATTGTAGGGAACCTAAAAACAATCTGTAACACCCGAGCAACCTCCCTAGCAACCACCCTGAGCAGGATGCGCATAGCAACATGCCCAGAACCCCTTAGCAACCGTGTCACAGCTGATGGAGGTGCGTCTGTGGTCTCCTGTCAGCTTCAGGCGGAGCAGCGTGTCTGTGTCAGATTCATGCTGAGGCAGGAGTAATGAAAGCGTTTGTGTGAAACGGTCCCGCTGCTGTGTGTGGGTGTACATGCATTATGCATTATGCACTATGATGCAGGCGGCTGTGACATGAGCGCATCTCACTGTAACCGTCAGACGTTTCCCACTGCCTTCAGTGTCAGACATCAGTTCAGCTGCACTCTCTGCTTATGAAAAATCATCTGCTAGTACGGAAATACCCGTGTCAGATGATCATACTGTGCTAGTGTTTACCACAGTATATACCATGCAATTGAATCAATATTTGCTTATGTGTTTACATGTCACTAAAGATTCAAAGAGTTCAAAAAAAAAAAAAAGCCTAGGTCCATGGTGCATAACCATGCATCGTTTCTTGACATGTTATTGCTTTAATATTCAAATTGATACTTTTATTCTTCAAGGATGCATTAAACTGATCAAAAGTGACAGTAAAGACATTTATAATGTTACAGCAGATTTCTATTTCAAATAAATGCTGTTCTTCTGAACTTTCTGTTCATCTGTGAATCCTGAAAAATAAAATGCATCACGGTTTCCACAAAAATATTGTGCAGCACAACTGTGTTCAACATTGATAATAATCAGAAATGTTTGTTGAGCAGCAAATCAGCATATTAGAATGATTTCTGAAGATCATGAGACACTGAAGACTGGAGTAATGATGCTGAAAATACAGCTGCGCATCACAGAAATACATTACAGTTTAACAGATATTCACATAGAAAACAACTGTTTTACACTGTAATAATATTTCACATTTTTTACTGCATTTTTGATCAAATAAATGCAGCCTTTGGTGAGCAGAAGAGACTTTTCAGAAACATTTGAATGGCTGTGTACATATACAAAAAACCATGCTGGGACCATTGTACGTGTCAGAAATCATGGTATTACAGTGATACATGGCAAAATAGCATTATTAGAATGGTACATGTCTACAAAAACATGGCTTGAAAAATGTCCAGAGAAACCCTAGTTCAAATCTGTTGTGTTCTCGAAGGTCTAACACCAACCAACATGTCCACAAAAACAATGTTTTACCACGCTACACATCCACTTTTACAATACTCTTCCAGAAAAGACCTTCTTTTGGCCTCATTTCAAGGGAAAACTCACCCAAACATGACCATTCCTGCATCATCTACTCGCTCTCATGTCGTATAAGAGTCTTTAAGACTCGCAGTCATTCAAAACACGAGTGAAGATGGTCAACAGAAGCTCAAATGTGTCAAACACACACGTTTCAGCTTCTGTTGTCCATATGCAGTATATACACGTGAAGAAACGCCTAAACTAAATCTAAAAATACAGTTGCATTTATGATGCCTTTATGTGGAGTTTAGAGGAAAGGACTGTCAACGGAGGAGCAGAAATCCCTCAGCTTTCATGAAAAATGTCTTCGTTTGTGTTTTGAAGAAGTCTTGTGGGTTTTTAGTGACGTGAGTGTGAAGACTTGATCATTTCTGGGTGAGCGATCTCTTTATCCGCTCGGCTCTTCTTGAGAAGGTGCACTCTTCTCCTCCGATCGTCAGCTCTTTCTCTAATCGTGTGTTCCTCCAGGCAAGCCTGCTATCGCTCACAGGGATCTGAAGTCCAAGAACATCCTGGTGAAGAAGAACGGCACGTGCTGCATCGCAGACCTGGGTTTAGCTGTGCGGCACGACTCCGCCACCGACACCATCGACATCGCACCCAACCACAGAGTGGGCACCAAACGGTACGCCCTCCTGTTCTTCAGACGGATTTCAGCCGTCGTTATGGTTGAGGGGACTGGTTTAGCCGTATATAACTCTGGGAAGGCGTTTGAGATGGGTTAGTGAAGGTTCATCTCAAAGTCCTCGATCACTGGTCCAGAGCTACTGCTGCTAGCTTGTTAGTCCTGCTGGGAGTTTAGCTGGGTTTTGGGGTTTTCATTCGTTTGGCTTTTTATTTAGTTTTCTCTCCTACTGATGGGAAGTGTTTTTTTAAAAGACAACATGTAACGTGTGTCTTGTTGGCCCATACATTTCTATTTTATTTAATTTAATTTTTTATATTTTTAATTTTTAATTTAATTTTTGTAATGTAGATATTTTTTGCAGATCTGCAAAAGATGAATTTACAGGGTTTCTTTGGATTTTAGAAAGTCTTAATTTGGCCTTCCACAAATTAAGGCTTTAAAAAAGTCTTAATGCAGACCATAAAGTCTTAAATTCATAGAATTATGACATTAAAGGGATAGTTCACCCAAAAATGAAAATTCTGTCATTAATTACTCACCCTCATGTCGTTCCAAACCCGTAAGACCTTCGTTCATCTTCAGAACACAAGTTAAGATGTTTTTGATGAAATCCCAGAGATTTCTGACCCTGCAGAGACAGCAAGGGAACTGAAACATTCAAGGCATTCAAGAATACTTTTTGTGCGCTAAGAAAACAAATGCAGGGTCAGCAATCTCTGGGATTTCATAAAAAACATCTTAATTTGTGTTCTGAAGATGAACAAAGGTTTTTTTTTTTGTCTAATACAAATATCTAGACATCCTTAAATCAAGATACATTTACTGGAGATGCAAAATAAAGATACGAAGTCTCGTTTTCTGAGAAACTTAAACTGAAAAAAATTACTTGATTTACAATAAAATGAAAAAAAAAAAAATCGATGTACTGAAATAACTAAAACTTGAACTTAAATAAAAATAAATAACTATATAGACATAAAAAAAACAAAAAACGAAACTAATAAAACTGACAAAAACAACACAATTACTAAAACGTTAACTCAATTTAAACAAAAGAATATATAAAAGTAAAAACTAATTCAAAATATTAATAAAAAACTATAATATTACCTAACACTGGGTGAATGTTGTGTATTTTCAAACTTTGAAGTGTTGCTAATACTGCACAACTCATTTTTTAAACATTTAGAGAACATTAATTCCTTAATTTGTCTTTAACAAGTATTAAATTTACCTTTTTAAAACCTACAGAAAGCCTGGTTTAAATATAGAGCTGCTGAAGTCTTCATTACTGAAAGCATCATTAGCAGCATTCCTAAAACAGCAGGCCAAATAAATTCCAAAAAAATGAATTACTTGAAAACATGAAATCATTTCACTGATGCATAGCTCGAATCTCGATTCTCAGAGGCGAACTGCTGAACGTATCCAGATTAACCTGCTGAAATATGGTGTGCAGATGAGTCTAATCATGCTCTCGTTCCTGAGATTCCCATCATCCTGATATGCAGCGCAGCATCTGTTCAAACACTTCAGCTCAGAGACGGCTGCTGAGAGCTGCTTATACATCTGTGACGGTGATCGTGTGGAAGCTTGTGATCCGAAAAACACGCAAGATATTCCACAAATAAATGGAAAAGCATTTTTGAAACATTTATTTCAATCGATTAAAGTATTGTGTTTTTATTTCATGGATTTTTTGTTTTTATTTGTGTACTTTGGTATGCACAGGGTTATTATATTATATTAAACTAAAACTAAAATCATATATTTTTTACTTGAAATAAAATTAACATAAAGTGAAGTAAAATAAAATATATTTTTAAAAAAACATTTAACATATTTTATTTCAGCTAGTTGCAAAGGCAGCATTTATCATTTTCATTTATTTTAACTTAATGTACTAAAATAACTAAAACAGAATTTAAAGAAAATTATTTAAAAATGTATAAAAACTATATAGACATATTAAAACAATATGGTTAAAATTTTTACTAAAATTAAAATGAAAACCGAAAATATATATTTTTTAAAATGTATTAACAAAAACATTCTTAATGATACTAAAATACCACTGGCATGCACTTGTTTTTGTAGTAAAAATACAATATAATTATGATTTGATGCTTTTTTTAAAATCATTTACATTTTTAAAACATTTTCTGCAACATACCTTAAATATAACCAAAATACAAAACACTGAAATCTTTTGTGCTCGCTGTGCTTGTGAAGTTCAGGCCTCTGTGCTTTTTTAATTACATATTGATTTATTTCCGTGCCTGTAAACCGGCTGATTTCCCTCGTTCTTCAGGGGCGTTTTTTCATCCCTTGGTGAAACTGCATTTAGATTTGTTAGTGCTGAATGACAATAAAGTCAACCTTCAGAAGGACCTTGTTCTTGGATCATGTGGGCATAAATCTCTGGATTAGGATTTTGCTTTGCTTCATCAAAAATAATAACGCTCTATTCACTTGTATCCTTCAACAGGTATATGGCTCCAGAAGTGCTTGACGATTCAATAAACATGAAGCACTTTGAGTCTTTCAAGAGGGCAGACATCTATGCCATGGGGCTGGTCTTCTGGGAAATTGCCAGCAGATGTTCTATTGGAGGTATTATTCATATGAAACTAGCTCTACTTTAATAACTGGTTTAGTTCACCAGACAAGTTTGCATTTTGAAGTTTGTCTAATCTTTTGATCAGCAGCATCATCTGTTGTTTTGAGTATTTAGACTCATCGTACCTTAACTGAAGCATGTTTTTGCGCAGGCATTCATGAGGACTACCAGCTGCCGTACTATGACCTGGTGCAGTCCGACCCGTCGGTGGAGGAGATGAGGAGAGTCGTGTGCGAACAGAAACTACGGCCCAACATCCCAAACAGATGGCAGAGCTGTGAGGTGAGAACACTCAACTTAAAACAGAGGAATGATAACCCAGTCTGTAAATATATCCGTCTGTGAGTTGACGAATGGACAATGAATATATATATATATATATATATATATATATATTAGGACTGTCAATTGATTAAAATATTTATTCGTGATTAACTCTTCTAGTTCTAGTCACTAGTTACAGTGTTACAGTACTTGCCACTAGTTACAGTGTTACAGTACTTGCCACTAGTTACAGTGTTACAGTACTTGCCACTAGTTACAGTGTTACAGTACTTGCCACTAGTTACAGTGTTACAGTACTTGCCACTAGTTACAGTGTTACAGTACTTGCCACTAGTTACAGTGTTACAGTACTTGCCACTAGTTACAGTGTTACAGTACTTGCCACTAGTTACAGTGTTACAGTACTTGCCACTAGTTACAGTGTTAGAGTATTAGTCACTAAGTTAGAGTATTAGTCACTAATTACAGTGTTACACATCTAGTCGCAGTGTCTAGTCACTAGTTACAGTCTTTTGGTTCTAGTCACTAGTTATAGTGTTACAGTTCTAGACACTAGTTACAGTGTTACAGTACTTGTCACTAGTTACAGTGTCTAGTCACTAGTTACAGCCTTTTGGTTCTAGTCACTAGTTATAGTGCTACAGTACTAGTCACTAGTTACAGCGTTACAGTTCTAGTCACTAGTTACAGCCTTTTGGTTCTAGTCACTAGTTATAGTGTTACAGTTCTAGTCACTAGTTATAGTGTTACAGTATTAGTCACTAATTACAGTGTTACACATCTAGTTACTAGATATAGTGTTATAGTACTAGTCACTAGTTACAGTGTCTAGTCACTAGTTAATGTGGATGCGTGTGCTGTATATCACTTCAGAAGGAAATGTTTCATTTAGTGGCTGATGTTTAATTACACATATTAAATAGCAAATTCTGGTAATCAGAACCAATGTAAAGAACTTTTAATTGGATGGTAATGAAATTACGGACCTATGACACTGCAGTTACTTTGCAAATAAGTCATGAAATTACCAAAGTACGTCGAGAGTTGGTAATTGGATGGTAAGGAAGTTACGAGCATGCAGTGTCCTAGTTGCGTTGTCAATTAGTAAGTCATGGAATGACCAAAAGTGGCAATAAATGATGTAACCGTTACATCATGCGTTAGCTGGGTTTTCTCCTTCACCATTTCCGCTGACTGGGAGAAATGTTGCCCGTCCAGAACACGCAGAGGCAAGAAGAGTGAGACCAGTGTCATTTTTGAAAATAGACAAAGCCAAATAGACATTTCTCTATATAACAGCGGGCAATGTGTGTGTACTTATGCACTTTGGTTTCTTGTGCTCAGATATATCGTCTTGTTCTTGAAAGAGCACGTTTAATTTTCCCATGTAGATCAATAAAGTTAATTCAGGCTTACAGTTCTAGTCACTAGTTACAGCCTTTTGGTTCTAGTCACTAGTTATAGTGTTACAGTTCTAGTCATTAGTTACAGTGTTACAGTATTAGTCACTAATTACAGTGTTACACATCTAGTGACTAGATATAGTGTTATAGTACTAGTCACTAGTTACAGTGTCTAGTCACTAGTTAATGTGGATGCGTGTGCTTTATATCACTTCAGAAGGAAATGTTTCATTTAGTGGCTGATGTTTAATTACACATATTAAATAGCAAATTCTGGTAATCAGAACCAATGTAAAGAACTTTTAATTGGATGGTAATGAAATTACGGACCTATGACACTGCAGTTACTTTGCAAATAAGTCATGAAATTACCAAAGTACGTCGAGAGTTGGTAATTGGATGGTAAGGAAGTTACGAGCATGCAGTGTCCTAGTTGCGTTGTCAATTAGTAAGTCATGGAATGACCAAAAGTGGCAATAAATGATGTAACCGTTACATCATGCGTTAGCTGGGTTTTCTCCTTCACCATTTCCGCTGACTGGGAGAAATGTTGCCCGTCCAGAACACGCAGAGGCAAGAAGAGTGAGACCAGTGTCATTTTTGAAAATAGACAAAGCCAAATAGACATTTCTCTATATAACAGCGGGCAATGTGTGTGTACTTATGCACTTTGCTTTCTTGTGCTCAGATATATCGTCTTGTTCTTGAAAGAGCACGTTTAATTTTCCCATGTAGATCAATAAAGTTAATTCTCGCAGCATTTCATTACGGCGTGCACAGATCTGCCCTCTCGACCCGGGTAATCGCACCGGTAATCGTTCATCAAAACAGCGCTGGCCTCTTTTATTACTGGGGAAGTGACATGACTTGATTCGATTTGATCCAAGATAACACTGCTGTGAAATCGAATCCGTCTCCAGCATATGAAAGCTGCCAAACGCTCTGTGAAACAGAGGTGTGCCTCTAGTGCTCTCATAACGGATACGCTGTCTTTGTTTCTGCGTCTGTAGCGCGTGATTCAGCCGCAGCACCAGTGACATTTACTGTCTGCCGTGGCACCGTGGTGTTTCTGCATTCGGCTCTCGTTCACAGGTGAGCCTGAACACGCAGACTCCTCGGAGGAGATCAGGGTCTTTAGAAGTGTCTTGTTCCCCAGGGCAGTGTAAAACCTGAGGTTGTATCCGCAGAGACAGGCTTTAATGGCCTCAAAGGAAGTGGAAATCAACTGCTGCTGGTGTCATAAACTACATAAAGCAAGCAGTTTTAATTATACATATAATACAATTTTAAGCACCATTCAAACAGCATTTAAATAATGTTTAGGATGTATATTGTCACCTATTTTCAAAACGTTTTAATTCAACTTAATCTTTATACAACATTAAAGCAACGTTTCTGCAATGTCCCGCACCACATATTTTCACCTCTGAACAAATAGATACAAACAAGATGCATTTGTCCAAAATAGTCAGTTGCAGTAAAGGACAAAAAGCAAAGGTTTAATTCTACTTATTAACGTTTAAATGACATTCAAACAACGTTTCTGCAACGTTCAGCACTGACCAAACTGATGCAAACAAATCACATTTTTCAAAAACTGTGTTATAAAGTACATAAAGCAAGTTTAAATTCTACTTCTCTCAAAGTTTAAAAGGCATTCAGACATATATTTTCATCTGCCACAAATAGTTGCTCACAAGAGTCGCGTTTGTCTGAAAACTCTTTAAAGCGGTCAGCTGACGTTGAGCGAACTGAGGAAGACTATTCGGGTTGCATTGCTGCACTGTTGTACATAACCTCGTTAGGAAGCTAACTCTATGCTTTCTGGATGTTAGCAAACTCAGTAGTGCTTTCGTAAGGCTGGATTGTCTTCCTCGCGGCGGATGACCTTCTGTGTTTGGCGAGCAGCTAAATGAACTAAACTGTGCTTGTGTGTCTGCGGCACAAACAGAAGTGATTTGATTTGCATTCGGTGGAAATCTTTCACCCTGAGAGCCAAAAGCGGGTGTCAGTAATGACCCAAAGAGAGCTCAAATCTCTGCAGACGTTGTTGTGCATTTATACACAGCTAACAGTGTGGCCAGTATGAAGCGCTGCAGCTCTTTTACTTGCTTTGTCTGATCTAATGGATCTAATAAGAATCCCAGCGCTGAGTAAAGACGCAGACGAGTGTTTCTGCAGGAGTCATCAGGAGATGATGTGCAAATAATAAATGTCTGAAGAAGCGCGTTTGTATCTATTCCAGCGTTTCTTAGAGGGCATGAACCGAAACACTGATTTGACAAGAAACTGCTTGAAAAAAAGACTTTCAGGAGCTGTAGTGATTTAAACATCAGAGTACAAAATACAAATTGAGCTGCTTGAGTTTTGTCTGGACACACTTCAGTGAATTAGTTTCTCATTAGGTTAAAAACGGGCAAATCAGTGTTCCTTTAGCTAATAGCTAGAGCCACTTTTGGACCTTGTGTGTGTTTTAAGAAAGTAAAGTCTCTTAAAGACTCTTGACTAGTTTTTATTTTATTTGTTATCATCAGACATTGGGAATGGAAATGTGTAATTTTCACCGCATCGTACAGTATTGTGTTTAAGAGCATGCTGTAGTGGGAATGACAGTGATGGAAATGGCATTTTTAATATTTTTGGAATAAAATACACAAAGTTAAATGACGTTTTCAAAGTTTTTGCATAATTTTCCAAAATTACAGCTTGATTGGATTTTTTTGGCTTTTTATCTTTTATTTTTATTTTTATTTTTTTAAGTTCTTCGCTGACACTGTTGTCTCCAGTATACTAACTAAAAAAAAAATGATATCATATGTAGATACTATTATAGTTTATTTTAAAATATTTAGATTTTTTTTTTTTTTTTTTTTTTTTTTGTTTTTTTTTTTTTTTTTTTTTTTTTACACGTTTTCCATTTTCATTTAAAGTTAAAGTACTAAAATCAGTTAAAGTTTTAGTAATTTTGTTTGTTTTATTAATTTAGTTTGTTTTGTTCATTAGTTGCTGTTTTTTAATGTCTGTAAAACTGAAAAAGTAAATTAATTAAAATATAAAATATAGACAAATAAATAAAATTACATATATAGTATATAATTTTATAATTACTATTTTTCATGATTATATCACAATTGGACTATTTCTCATAATTGTGTCTTGATGGAACATGATCTTTACTTAATATCCTAATGATTTTTGGCATAAAAGAAAAATAATTTTGTATTGTTGGCTATTGCTACAAATATACCCCAGCGACTTAACACTGCTTTTGTGCTGCAGGGTCACATATATTATACTGTGACTTTATTTTTCATACTTGTAACCTTTTTTCATGTAATTGTGAATTTTTATATCTCACAATGTGACTTTCTTTTGTAATTGTGACCTTGTATCTCACAATATGAATGTATTTATTTTAATGCTCTTAGTTTTGGTTAACTATAATAACCACGATAAATACACATGCAATCTCGGGATTTTCATTTTTGAAGATTAAAAGTGTGATGGTTTTGGGATGAGGGTAAAACAATCAGATCTGAATGAAGAATGCCTGATAGAAAGAAGTTCGAGTTTTAATGTGAGCAGTATGAGTTGTGTGTGCGTGTGCATTTATGTGCTGTTTCGTGTGTTCAGGCTCTGCGTGTGATGGCGAAGATCATGAGGGAGTGCTGGTACGCCAACGGAGCGGCCCGTCTCACAGCCCTGCGCATCAAGAAGACGCTGTCCCAGCTCAGCCAGCAGGAGGGCATCAAGATGTAGAGCATTCCTTTCCCATCATCCTTCAGAACCGCATCACACGCAGCACTTTCACTGACGCCTGCCGCTCGTTTCTGCGTCTCGGTCTTAAACACGGACTCCTGAGGATGATGGGCCGTCACTCTCACTCGGAGCACCAGACCGCGTCAAACACAAGAAGGGTTCTTTTATTATTTATAAGCGGCCGGTGGATTTGAGTTTGGTTTTTCTCCCATGGAGGTTTGATTGATTTGCACCTGGTGTTTAATTTCCGCTTATCACTGCAGTTCTTCAGGTCGGTGGGACTTTTAATACACGTGTTCTGTTTTTGCAAAAACAAAACTGGACATGACCTCATTCAGTCCTGGCGAACATGCGTGACATATGCAATACAGATGAAACCTATCGACTTTATATTTTTACTGCTCTGCTACAACAACTACGATGACAACCATGCCTTCCAAGCCAGGTGTTACCAGCAAGTGCCACTGCTTTGAACCAACCAACTAACCAACCCACCCTCACGGTGCGCTGGGATTCTCTTATGCACACGGAGCGAGAGCGGGCCGCTGGTGCCGTTCTTCATTCTCTCTGCCTCTCATTCTCTTCACTGAGGGATGTAATAACTATCAGACCTCTTCATTTACAGCTGGATTCACGGGAACGGGCTGCGATCGGACGGCCGGTTACAGCGAGGTGCACACCACTGACGCTCGACGCAAGCCGGCGACTGAACAAGAACGAAATAGCATTACTGAAAGCTGCCCAGGCATACAGTATGATTAGAGCGCTCTCGGCGTGCAAAGACCAGGTGTGGTTGATATAGAATGGATATTTACTAAGCCATTGGTTTTCCAACATTTTGTGGCAACTTTTTCTAATAGAATGTAAATGAGAAGAAATGTCAAGGACTGCTTTGAAACTCTTTGGAGCGAGCCTTAAGGGACCAACGTGGAGCTGAGTGTAATGACACGCTGGCTTCAGGACTGTGTGTAAGCCGGTTCAGAAATGTAGCAGCAGTCGTGTGTGGATCAGAGCTGGTGAGATCGTGAAGGAAGAGCGAAGCTCAACTGCTTTCTCAAGGTATCAGTTTCTGGTGCTTATTTAAGCGTGCAACTCGAGATTCTTATTTCTCTACATCCATACGTTTGACACTTTCCCGCCGCTGAGTTTTCAGCGATCTTTATAGTCAGTCGTGGAAGGAATCTTCAGTGCAAGTCAAGCTCAGTCCACAGCATTTGTGTCGGAATGTTGATCAGCACAAAATTAAAAAAATGTAGAAGGAAATGTAGAAAACCGCAAACGTCATGGTTACGATGAGGCACTTACAATGGAAATGAATGGGGCAATTTTTGCAGGATTTAAAAGTGGAAATTTTGTGAAAGCACTTCTATTAATTATTCTGCTAAAACATGGGTATTATTTGAGCTGCAAAGGATCATTTTAAGGTTTTAGCTGTTACATTATGACAACAAAGCTGTAAAATTGGACAGAAAATGTTTTTTTTTTTTAAATACAAAAACAGTGAATGTATGTTGTTATGTCTTGTGGCGGCTCATTTGAAACTCCATTGTAAGTACCTCACTGGAACGCAGATTTTTTAAAGGAAATACATTTTTGTGAAAACCAACAAATGCTGTCAGTTTAGTGCGACGTGTATTGAATGTGGAATATTCCTTTAAGAAGCGTGAACGATGTCACGTGTTGAGCAGTAGCAGTGTTTTAGCATGTTGATTGCTCAGGCTTTCTGCTCTTCTGCTGGTCAAACTTCACTGCTATGCATCACGAGTCTCTGCTGGAGCACAAACCACACACAGACTCTCAGCATCTCATGCAGTTTACAGCAATTACATTCATACAGCTCTTGTTTTCTCCTGAAATGTGTTGGAATTGCTCAAGGGAAGGCATTTCCAGCACACTTCCTTTAAAGCGGATTGATTTTGCCATGTATTTCTCAGTGGTGCTGAGTCTGAGTTTGTTTGCCAGTCGCTCGGATGGACAGTAGTGTTATGATGGATTATTGATGCTGTTTCATGCGTACAGTGAGTGGATGAATGACTCCTGCCACACATTCAGATGCACAATTCCTCAATGAAGTACTTTTTAATGTGTGCGTAGGATGCAATGACTATAAATAATGTGTACATGTATATAAATATGTATAATGTTTGTCAGGCTGTGCCCAGTTTGTTAACAGAGAAAGTGTAAATTAAACCCAGTTTCAGGAAAAGGGAGCGATCCGGGGAATCGACCGGCTCGTTCGAGGGAATGAGAGTGTCGTTCAGCTTTCTTCAGCAAACACAGACAGTTCAGCCAGAAATGAAAATGATCACTTATTCATCCTCATGCTGCTCCAAACCTGTACGCTGAGCTCGGGGAGTGAGTTTTGGGGTTATTGCAGTTCACTAAAACTAAAATCTTTAAAAAAGAAAACTTTGAAAACTTGAAATAAATGTTACCTGAAATAAAATATAAAAAACTTAAACTTATTTCAGCTAGTTTCCAAAGTAACATTTCTCCTTTTCATTTAGTTTAACTTGATGTACTAAAATAGCTAAATAGCGGGAATAAAAATAATGACAAATACACTAAAATTAAAGTGAAATGAGAAAATGTAAAAATAAAATCTCATTCAAAATATTAACAAAAACCAGAATAGACACTAAATATAATACTCAATGACACTAAAATAACAGGATTTCAATCTTTCAAGCTTCAGAAAGAACTTGCATCATACACATAGTCTGTACGACTGGATGTTTTGAGTAATCGAGTATGACGTTAGTTTTAACCTCTGAAGATTTCGTGAAGTCTGATCCTATTTGATCCAGTTCCCAAAACTAGAGAATCTGACTGATCCACTTTCAGCATTTACTGCAACTGCACAGAAAAGAGCAGCCAGAGCATTCTTCAAAATATCTCTTTCTGCGTTCTATGTTCAAACGCAAGCAAGGACGTGGTTTGGAATGAGACGAGGACCAACGCTGATGGTTTTCCCTCTGGGCTGAACGCTGTTTTCCCGCTCGTGCCGTGTCAGTCATCACGGACGGCAGCTTTCACATCCTCAATCACCAGCGTTTTGTTTAGCGGTAAGATCTGCATCCAGGTTTCCTTTAGTGGCGTGCAGGTGTGTTCTGGGCCACACCAGCTATAGCTTGACAGAAAAGCCACAGCGTTGCAGCTGTAGTGTAGCTCAGCGTCTTCTGTGCCAGACGCTGCAGATGAGTCCAGCATCCCATCGACGAGCTCGTGCCTCCTCCAGACTCTTCTGCAGCAGCGACCTTCATCGACAGAGGCCATATTTCCAGTAGAAAGCTGGAGTCAGACGCCCTTACATGACCCAGACTTCCCCACCGCTGGCTTTTCATTAATAACTCTTGAAAGGTAGATTATGCAGTTTCACACTATAATGCACAAACATGTCAGTGCGTCTTACACAGCCTCAGATGGACTAATTAACGAAAGCGCGATGGGCCGTGGATGCACGCGTCTAACCTGAACGTGGCAGGCGTGAATGTTAATAGCGCAAACTATTTGCATTTTTAAAGCGGTGGCATGAAAACACACAGGTCTTTCACTCATTTATGCAAATGCATTTGGTCTGACAGACCTCAATCGTCATGCTGTTTATTAGAGTTTAATTACACGGACACTGTGAAAAAGACCCTTGAGGGCCGCTGGGCCGCCGGCACCAAAACACAGGAGAATTCTGGGTCATTTAAGGGCAGCTGACGATTTCCCATGATGCATTTGGCTGCTGATTGGACGGAAGTGGAAAGCTTTATCGTGTTTTATTTGGTGCCTAAGTTTGACTCTGTTTTGTTTTTTAATTCCACTTAGAAATGATGCACTGCATGGGACTTATTTCTAATGTTTGCATCACTTGCTTTTTTTAAGAAAAAACAAAATCAAGAATAATAATTAAAAAAAAAATGTCAGTAGGTTTTAAAAGGTCAAAATGTCATGAGAAAAATACCTCCTCTGAAGACCAATGTGTTTATACCTCAGTGTATATATTTGAGTTTGTTTCTTTTGAAATGCTGAAATGAGATTTGATGTGGCTGGTACTTGTGTTACTGTATTATTGTCCAAACAGTATATTCCTTCTTTAAAGCATTATTTGGTTTCGTTCTCTTCTTTTCGTGTTCTGTATGAATTACAAGTGCTTTACTGATGTCATGCTGTCCTTTAATGCCTCCTCAGCTGTATAGAAATGCCTTGTTACAAAAAAACTGAAAAGCCGAATGAAGCTGGTGGCTGAAGTGAGACGTGTGGGTCACTAAGGCCTCATGTCTCGACTCTTTTCTAGCGTGTACAGATGATAGGATCATAGCAGAGTGAAGATCGTGTTGCTTTCTAACATAGCGGAGTAGAGATGGGTGTCAATAAAAACACTTTCAACTTTTACATACCAGCTCTTGTTTTATTGCTCTCCTGGCTTGGTTCACGCAAAATATTAAGAAATTGTCCTGTTAACACATTTAATAAAAATGTAGGTGAATAACTGAAAAATTATCCAAAATATATCATTTGTACACAAGCATTTTTACAGTCTTGTAGCTGGTTTTCTCCAAACCAGAATCAGTATTCAGTAAATTAAGAAAGATCATAATAATATTAATTACAATATAACTGATATTTAAAAAATATTTTTATTTTAAAAAACGTTTTAAGACATTATTATTAATAGTGATCATTTTTATAACTGTTTTACCACTCCTTTATTTTATGAGAAGTATTTTAAATTATTAAAAATACAAAGACCTTTACAGGGATATGATGGGAAAAAAAGAGAGTGGAGGGGAAAAAATTCTCCATCTATTTATTTTTTTTTACATCACCATGTTACAGAAGCCCATTTCTGCCATGCAATAAAAAAATTAAAAGCAATTGCGACTTTTTATCTCACAATTCTGACTTGTTTTTTTAACACTATAAACTCGCAATTGTGAGGGGAAAAAAAATACACTATTTTTTACTTTTTATTCTATTGCAGAAAAATGATGTAAACTCAGAATTCAGAGAAAAAAAGTCAGAATTGTGAGTTTAGTTGTGAGTTCAGAGGTCATGTCTCGCTCATGGATGAAGTGAGAGTCTAGACCGTGTGCTTCGTTGCAAGCAGAACAGAGTCAGTCAGTAGCCTACAGTTGTGTTGTGCTTTTAAACATTTTCACCTTTCACATGTTTAATATTGCTAGACTCAATAAATGAGAAGATGCAGTCGAGTGAGGACCTCGGCGATTCATTCTGTTTCAGAAATAAAATATTCATGTGTTTTATAATTGGTCCCTGATTAGAAAGCTCGTCTAGTCCTTCCTCCAGCTGATGGTGAAGTGTTTCAGAAAGCACCTGCCGCATCAGACAGACTCTCAGCTCGGGGAGAGTTTCCTTCACTTACTCCACAGTCACTTCAGTCTCTCAGACCAGGCTTTGATGGCATCAGAAATGAGCAGCTCTGCTCTCTTCACATGAAATGTTCTTGAGTTGCTCAGTTTCTCAAATCAGTGTGTAATGAGATCATGCCAAACCGCTTCAGCTCACAGAAACACCTTCCACTGATGTTAGACAGCATCTCAGACACAACTCAAATCCATACGATTCCTCATCAGAGCACAACAACAAAGGTATGAAACTTTATATCTTACATTTGTGACTTTATATTTCATGATTCTGACTTTATTTCTCATAAATTCCAACTTCATATCTCACAATGTGTTTTTCTTTTTTTTTTATATATAACTGCAACCTTATTTATTGAAACTATATCTCACAATGTGACTTTATATCTTACAATGTGACTTTTTTCAGATTCTCACAATGTATCATAATCGCAACTTTACATCTCATAATGTGACTTTATTTCTCATCATTTCTACCTTATTTCTCTTGATTGTGTCTTTTATATATCACAATGTGAATTGTAATTGCAACATTTTTGTTGTCATCATATTTCTCTTAATCGTGTCTTTATATCTCACATTACGACTACAGTCACAATATATCTCACCTTGTTTTTTGAGAAACAGTTACATTGTGAGAACGTTGTAATTGCAACTTTCTCACAATGTAACTATTTCTCATATTTGAGACTTTATATCTCACAATGTGATTTCATTTTTTTTTTTATAATTGTGACTATATTTCTCATAATTGCAACTTTACATCTTGCAATGTGACTTCTCATAACTGCGACGCAACAAAATCACATTTTCTCATATTTGAGACTTCACATCTCACTATGTGAATTTGTTTCTTGTAATTGCAACTGTATCTTACAATATAACTGTATTGTTTAGTCCTTTCAACCTTATATCTCACAAAGTGACTTTATAGCAGCTTTATATCTTGCAATGTAACTTTTTCTGTTGTGATCAGAGTCTGAATCATATGCTACACCTCATTATATCTCCTTTCTCTGTTTTCTTTGTTTCTTTTTCTCCATCTTTTCGGATATTTAAAAGTCGTTTTAGCCTTGTACCCCGTGCAGTTCTTCTGTGTGAAGAAATACCAGCTACAAATCATTTCTGTTTCACAGACTCACTGAACTCAGAAGGGATGATTTTCATCAGTGAAGGGGCTGAGACTGAGACTTTAAACATGTCACGAGCACAAGTCTGCTTTATTATATTCTCAACACTATCAGGGTATAGACTGTTTCATTTATTCACATGTTGAGTCAGATCTGGAGCGTCTGTTGTGCTGCATTGCATGAATTTAAAGGAGTCATATGATGCTTTTTTAAAGATCATTATTTTGTGTATTTGGTGTAACAGAATATGTTGACATGCTTTAATGTTAAAAAAAAACACATTATTTTTCAAATACTGTACATTATTGTAGGTCCTCTATGCCCCGCCTCTCTCAAACGCTTCGTTTTCTACAAAGTCCCTCCTTCCGACAAGCGCAGTCTGCTCTGATTGGCCAGCTGACCCAGTGCATTGTGATTGGCCGAACACCGCAAGCACTCGTCGGAAATGTAACGCCCCTTACCATAATCACCAGCTTCATCTTTCAAAATAAATGTAAAGACAGTAAATAATGTCATTAGTTTCACCATCAGTTCAAGCCCGAAAGGGGAACAGAGTCGCGTGACAGACACAGTGATGAAGCTGGTATGTGTTTGCAGTACACAAGCTACGGTTATGAAAGCTGACTCTGTGATGTGTCCCTCTCTCTCTCTCTCACACACACACACACACACACACACACACACACACGATGCGCAAAACTCTGCATTTGAACAGTCAATAGCAAATACTAAAACTAATAACAAAACAGTAGCTGATTCAGAAGCGCCAGATTGTCATAGCAAAGTCAGAATCTTAAAGATTCCTAAATGCATCTACTTTCGGAAGGCCAAATAAAGTGCTTTTGCTTTCGCCTAGAAACACACAGCGTCTCCCTGACATGCTGCTTCAACACTAACTGCGGTTACTGAAACCACGCCTTCTTTCTTTGCGTGCACATTTGGGCCACATTATGCAAATATTTCCACATAGTGAGGTAGATATGGGGGGGCGTGTTAGAACGAGCCGTTTTAGGGGGCGTGGCAGAGTCTTAACTTTGATAAAGAATATCTCTTTGGTTTTGAGACTTTAGTCTTTGCAACTTCAGGGATCTTATCTATTCACAATCAGCTTGTAACACTCCAAAGAGAAAGGAAAACTTGAAATCACATCATATGACCCCTTTAATGCGAGACTCTGGAAATGAAAGCAGACGAGCTGTTCAAAGGAAGGAAGCTATGACAATAAAAGCACTATAAATGTCAGAGTGCCTGCGGTGAGTGGATGTGATCGACGCTTTCTCTATTTCTACTTGATTTGCCATGTTACCTGTCAGGCAGAAGCCAAACATAGCTGCAAGCGGCACCCAGCTGCTCGTGACACAGATGCATCTCTCTGGCAGACGCAGGAGTTTCTCTGACCAGGAGAACATGCACTGATTGATTTGGGGTGTTTTGTGATTTGAAGGTCAGTCGCCGAGCTTTCTCTGGTTTCTGTTTTTCTGTAAGAGGCTGGAGAATGTGTGTGTGTGAGCTGAAGTCTAGATCTAGATCTTCCTCCAGAAGGGGACACTGTTGGCTTTCAAATCTCCCTGCACTCTGCTTTGAGACTCAGACGCTTCATATTTAATGCATTTCGCATTAATTTTTAAGATGATGGATGGGTTTCGTGAGCAGACTCACTGCAGCATCCTATCATATATGCAGTCTGAGAGCACACTGAAAATACAGGCTTTCTGAGTCCAGCCTTCCTGGACACTTTATTTTTTCATAATTGCATCTTTATATCTTATTATGTCACTATTTTTCATAATTGCAACTTTATATCTTATTATGTCACTATTTTTGTAATTGCAACTTTCTTATTATGTCACTATTTTTGATAATTGCAACTTTATATCTTATTATGTCACTATTTTTGATAATTGCAACTTTATATCTTATTATGTCACTATTTTTGATAATTGCAACTTTATATGTTATTATGTCACTATTTTTCATAATTGCAACTTTATATCTTATTATGTCACTATTTTTGTAATTGCAACTTTATATGTTATTATGTCACTATTTTTCATAATTGCAACTTTATATCTTAATATCTCACTATTTTTCATAATTGCAACTTTATATCTTATTATCTCACTATTTTTTCATAATTGCAACTTTATATCTAATTATGTCACTATTTTTGTAATTGCAACTTTATATGTTATTATGTCATTATTTTTCATAATTGCAACTTTATATCTTATTATGTCACTATTTTTGTAATTGCAACTTTATATGTTATGAGACTTTATTTTTTCATAATTGCAACTTTATATCTTATTATGTCACTATTTTTCATAATTGCAACTTTATATCTTATGTCACTATTTTTCATAATTGCAACTTTATATCTTATTATGTCACTATTTTCATAATTGCAACTTTATATCTTATTATGTCACTATTTTTGTAACTGCAACTTTATATCTTATGAGACTTTATTTTTTCATAATTGCAACCTTATATCTCACAATGTCACTTTTTTTGGTTTCGTAATTGCAACTTTAAATCTTACAATGTGACCTTTTCTCATAATTGCAACTTTTATTTTACAATATTTAAGACTTTATATCTTGCAATTTGACTTGATTTACACCTTACATTTTCCATTTAAATTTGCATTGCGTCTCTGAAAGCAGTGGTTCCTACGCCTCGAGGCTGTTGATGGAGATTGTTCAGAGATCAGAAGCAGATCTGCAGAAGCCAATAACTGGATGTTGGAAAAGCCACTTCTCAACAAAAATAGTGTAATAGATATTGCAAATGAATTTAGAAAGCAATTACCTGCATCTTTTTCAATTCTTGAAGACGTGTTATGTATGACTGATAAAGTTCTTGACTTAATTGTTTATATAAGTGATGGCTATGACCTTTGCCGCTCTGATTATGGATTATATAAGCATGCAGATTTAGCACTCGGCCTTTCAAGCAGTCAATAAAGGCTGAGAGTCATCTGTAGCCTCATACTGATTATTATATATTCATGCAAAAATGTTGTTCCAAACCAGTATGACTTTGACTTTCTCTCTTCCGTGGAACACAAAAGGTGATGTTTTGCAGAATGTTCATGCTGCTCTTTTCCAGTGAAAGATGGAGGCTAGGGACTGTCAAGCTGCATGAAGATAATAAAATTCATTGAAGTATCATAGAGTCCATATGACTTGTGTGCTGTGTTCAAGTCTTCTGAAGCCATGATTTCTTTGTGAACACACTGATGTTTCCACTGCTTTGAATGTAAAGTGGTAAACGGGTGATTTTCTCCTTCACACAGACTGACTCCGTGAACGATGGTCTCTAATGTGTACATGATATGTTTGGACTCATAATCAGCTGTATTTTGGAAGATGTTATGGTTGGGCATTGTTTACAGAATCTCTGAAAGCCCCAGTTTAATAAATGTAATTATACTTGCTTCTTCACAAAGTGCGTTGAATTAAAGAGAATGTATTATGTCTCCAAAAGCCAGTTATGATAATGTGCAACTCCATGTTTTTCCCCTCTGTGACCCTTCTGCCTTTTTAATATCCTGATCATTAAAGAAAGACTGGAAAACAAGATCAAGAGCAGTTACCCATCTGGATGTACATGATATGAGAAATGTATGAATATATTTTATATATATAAAAAACTATATTTTTATTTAAACCCTCACAATTCTGAGTTTATATCTTACAATTCTCTTTTTCTTTTCTTTTTTCCTTCTCAGAATTGCAGGATAAATTAGAATTGTTAGACAAAAAGTCGCAATTACCTTTTTATTTTTTATTTTTTATTTTTTTTAATTCCGTGGTGGAAATGGGCTTCCATAAAAACAGAAGTGCGAGATATAAACTCAGAATTCTGAGAAAAAAAGTCAGAAGTGCGAGATATAAACTCAGAATCAAGAATAAAAACCTGCTTCCACAGAGTCCCGGAGCGAGAGCATTCAGGAGCGCGTGGTCCGCTGTCCCGTTATCAGCACTCACTGAACCACATCTGAGGAGCGGAATCAACCGCTGTGTAATTCATATGCTTTTGATACATTTATATTTGGGTTGCATCATAAAAAATAAAATAAAAAGGCTAGGAGTAGGCTATTTAGATTTTATATATATATATATATATATATATATCTGTTTTAGACTCAATGTAAACACTATGCTTTGGCAATACATTGTAACAATTGTCATGCCAATAAAGCACATATTGAATTGAACTGAAGAAGAGAGAGAGAGAGAGAGAGAGAGAGAGAGAGAGAGAGAGAGAGAGAGAGAGAGAGGCTGTATGGATTTATGGTTTGCCATATAATCCTGGATGGAAGAGCGGAATCGCCATCTGTTTCCTCCAAATGCGCTCAAGATAGAGGCAGACACATCATCTTCATCACCTTCATCATCTGCTGTGGCGTCGCCCGGAAATGAGAGCGGAAGCGCTGATCTGACGCGATCCGGACCGGCTTCAGCTGATCAGAGCGCGGAGAGACTCCTCAGCACTGCTCCGCACCGGACCTGAATGTAAGCATGTGAGTGCTCGTTCTTCATGAATGAGATGCTGCCGTGTGAAAGTCGCCTCTCGCATTCAGCGCTATAATCTGCACGAGCGACCGCTGCTTTTGTTTAGATCATCCTCATCATCCTCATCATCATCGCGCGCGCCTGCTCTGGTTGCCAGAACTTTGCCGTAAATATAATCATGGTGTTTCAAGCATTTCGACGCGACTGTATGCGTTACAGCTCATATGTCACTGATACCAAACCAACCAACTGCAGCTATTAATACCTGTTTATTGATGCAAAATGAGCTGAGAATGCGGCATATGAATATTTCACCTAGAAGTACAAGAAAAAAATGTACTTTCATCATGTCATTAGATCTTTGTATCCACCAATTTTCCTTTGCACAGGACTTTATTTTGAGCATTTTATGGCATTACAATTTTCTTTAGTAATTCAAGTGAAATGGACTTACAGTATCACTGCACTGTAAAATTATTATTATTATTATTTATTTTTTTTTTACAAGAAAATACTATTTAAATTTTTCTACATCAAAAGTTCATGTTTAATTTAACGTGTTAATTCAATGCCATTTAATTTTAATCGTTCGCAAGATTGAGCGATCTCTGAGTGGAAATTGCTTTTACAATATTATTTTTCAGTCTGGTTCAACGTAGACACCACTTTAATTTTACATCAGTTAAATATATTACATTAAATAAGATTATTTTCAAGTTAAATTCTCATTTAATATGCATGATGCCTTCAAAAGTGGCCTCTTGATAAATGTGGTGATTAATAACATACAAAAAAAAAAACCAGCTTCAGATAGCATAATGTAGCCCCTTTCAAGGGAACTTCGAACTGCGTCCTCTAGGGGGCGCTATGTGGAACGGTATACCCACGCCGCCATGCTGTGGGGAATGTGGGCCAGAACCATGGCGAGCACTAAGTACCAACTTTACCATTTTCATGGTGAGTTGCCCCTGGGACGTCAGACGGCTGTCCGTGACTTTATCCCCTACGGCCAAAGGCCTAGGCTACATACCCAAACAAACTTACCTATTAGGGCCAGAACTCCTGGGCCCGAGGTAGAGCTCAAGGCTTGGAATCAGGAATAGATTCCTTTAAGGGA